GTGTGAATGTATGAAAAGCCTTTTTGCATACAGACTGTCACAGCTCATTGGGCATTGTTTATTTACTGTTTTGGCTTCCGCCAGGCCCTGTACTCTGTTTTACTGTACTACTGTTAAGCAGGCCTTCGGTAATCTCGGATTACTGGCCGGTTACGGTGCTAAACCCATAGGGCCGGGTTTGGGTCGTGACAAACTGATTCCTCCAAATACTGATGCTCGCAGGCCTGATACCCAAACTCGCAACTGATACATACAACCTATAGAGACCCACTCTGACAACACATATCAAGCAAGTAAAAGCCAAAATACCCCCATGGAGGGGTAAGGTTTCCCTATCCTATCTTGTCAGGAGCTAGGTTTCACTACGCACGCAGCGGTTTCAAACAACCTACAATCGGGTAAGCAACCAGTCCTAGCTTGGAATGGTCACTATAGTTTCCGATATGCACTAGGTCGAATGGTCAAAAAGGGTACCTCGGTAACAACCGAGGTTTGTGTTCCAATCGTGGCAGAGCCCGTAACTGGTCAGCCTTATGGCACGCAGCCTCCGACAAACCGTTCAGGAATAGCAGATGGCAAACACTGTGACTTAGGCGCACCTATGCAAATGTAAAGCAAAGAAACACATAAGTGTAAACAAAACAACATATCATGAGTTCGAGTCAAGTTCTCTAAATCCCCAGCAAAGTCGCCAGAAACTGTAAACCGCCCGAACTCCGCTTTGAGTGTGAGGGCGCAAATTATAGTTCTAGCGACTACAATTCAGACTCCTGTCACGGTTTTGAATCTAATCTCACAAAGTGCAATGTAAGACTAATAAATCACCAAAGAGTCTAAATCTGATAAATCGTTTTGGAAAATCGATTTTAATCAAGAAATGCCAAACATGGACTGCTTTGCCAGATTTCAGAGTCGCCACCTAAATATTTTGTTTTGGAAAGTTTAGGAAACCCTGACTCGTGCCTCAGGCCACGTGTCTGTCATCACCAAAGTTACCTCGGCTCGGGAACTTGGGTACGAGAGGGAAAGGACCTAAAATGAGCACCGCCGCTCGCCCAATCAAAGGATCGGCCTCTACTAACATGATATGTTGTTTTTGAAAATACATGTGTTTTTATTCCGGTTATTAATCTAACTTACTACGTGATGCGCACAGCATATAAGTATAGACTAAATCACTCGAGTTGGAACAAAACATCTCATGTTTGTCTTTCGAAAATAGTTTGAAGTTGCTACCCTCAAGTAGGCTAAAGTGCGGATTTGTCACCCTCAAGTGGGCTTAAAATATGATGATTTGCCACTTCAAGTGGGCTTAAAACTCACATTTTGATGAATTGTCCCAATTCAAGCAATAAAGCCTTCATCCACAGGCATTCATACAGCTAAACACATAAGCACATAGCCTCATGGCAAGCATGCTATCATGACAGTCACTTACATACATGCAAGGATGCTAAAGCGTAAACACTCACAGTGTACTCCGAGCCAAAACAAAAGCTAGTTCGTAATCATGCATGATCTTAGCTATGTTAAGATGCCTAATGCAACACATGCAAGAATGCAACTAAATAGGCTCGGCTATTCTAAGATGGCATATGAATACAACACTCGATAACATGCTTTGAAACACGTATTCAAGTAAGTATTGAAATTCAATGCAATTTGAATGATGCACCGAGCCCGGTTCATGCAATACGAATGAATGATGCATGCATGCAAAGCATAAGTATGCTAATTGAAACATGCCCTAAGACTAACCATCAAAGGCTGGTAAATAAAAAGGAGAAAGACGTGGGGTTGGAAGACATTCACACACACACGCACACTTATTACAACATTTTCCCTCTTGACGGAGGGTCCAAATAAATCAACTAACTAGCTACACTAAGCTAATTAATTACAAACTAATTAATTAATTAAACGCTTAACTAATTAATTACAAAATAACTAAGCTAATGAACTAGTTTAGCTAAGAAATTTAAACAGATCGCCTTGGGAAGCGAGGGGGATATGCATGCTCGGTCAGCTTTGCTCGAAAATCCACTACTGTGCCTCATGATGCCTCTATTTGCACTCTTTTGGATTTCTAAAAATTATACCAACTTCTAGAATGTTTCTGACCCAACTTAGGAATATGCTGAGAGATGGTCGGCCAAGAGGGATGGCCATTTGCCAAAATTAATGGTCATCGGCCACTTCTGACAGCCGGTCGGCATTCTTAGTGGCCGGCCGGCAGCTTTGATGGCCGGTCGGCCACTGCTTCCTGCAATTTCTCCTTTTGCAGCAACAGAGTATAAACAGAGGCATGGTAGTGTATTTGCAAGAAAATGTGTGTGCAACTACACTCCTTATCATGTCTCAAGCTCAAAGGAGTTTAGTGCTCGGCTCTCGAGCCATCAATCACGCATCTCAATGCATGATGGCCAAAGAGGCCATGTTGCACAAGTCAATGTCGATGAATGCACACAAATAACACATAGGACTCGATGAACCTCCACCTTATCATGCATGATCAAAGGTGTCAGTGACCTAAGGAATGAGGTACATTTCATCACTTCAAGTATGAAATGCTCCTCGTTTCTCGTGTTTGGATCAACTTCCAATCCAAACACAATGCAATGCAACACACATGCAAACAACATGTAATACAACAACATGCAAACACAATGAGCAATGCAATAATATGCAAACAGCATGAGCATGGCAAGTTAGAGTCTCTAGGTATGAAAGCTAATGAAGGATACAACATAAGGGCTATGTAATGTAATACTCAATGGACCAAACTAGCCCTAAATTGACCTCATGTATGCCAAAACAGTGGCCAAAGTGCTCCGAAATGGTAGCATGAAAGGCAAGATGATGATGCTCATGCAATGGCTCATGATTGAGGCATAAGGGTACAACTCTCAAGAGCACTTAAAGAGTGAAAAACATGGGAGTGTAACAACACTATATGCTCTGAAATATCATTCCAAATGATACCAAAACATGCACATATGACAAATGAGGTATGCTAAGAGGCTCAAAGCTTAAGGCTAGCAAAGGTACTTGCACCATAGCCATATCAAGCCAGCCTTAAAGAGCCAAGATGACTCAAAATAGTCCCAAGACTGGTCAAAACAATGCCAAAACATGCATGAAATGAAGCCAAAACAAGCTAGCATGGTAAGCCAAAACACCAAGCATGCAAGGCCAATGAGCATGGTTACACTACAAGTGTAAATGAGGGATGCTCTAACCAACCAAAGACAGAGTTTTATCACGGCAAAACATGAGTAAAAGCTTCCTGGAGTGGAGCCAAAAGCATGCTAAAAAGATGGTCCAAAGCATGATGCATGTTAAGGCTATAGGGAGGATTGCACTACAAGTACATGAAGCATGCAACAAGTGATCAAACCAACCCAAAACAGAGTTATAACATGTTAGAAAAGTCACAAAAACATGCTAAGATAGAGTCTCAACATGCTAGAAAGACATGCTACTTTGCAAAGCTACAAGTAGGATTATATTACAAGTACAAGGACCATGCAAGAGGTGACCAAGACAGCCAAAAACAGAGCCATGGCAGGTCTAAAAATCACAAAAAAGTGCTCAAACAAAGCCTCAAGAAGATAGAAATACATGCTCTTTTGGTGAGCCACCAACACAAGCAAACAAGAAAAGAGGAGGGGGGACAATCCCCTCCTATTTGGGGCCTCAAAACACACTTTCCACCATTGAAATTCCTCTGGAATTCAGTGGTTGAAAGGCCAAGAGAAGGTGATCTCAAAGGCCTAAAGAGATGGTACAAAACAAAGCCAAACAAGGCACAAAAGGGGGTAGACCACCCCCAACACCAAAGAGGTCTCAAACAAACACTTTAAGCACTTGAAAATGAAGCTTTTTACAGTTGAAAGTTAAGGCAAAAGAAGCATGCAAAGATGGCTAAATAAGCAACTACAGCAAAGCTTTGAGGGGGATAAAAACTCACCCTTGAAGAACAACTTCAGGACAGCAACTTTAGAGGCAAAAACCAAGCCAAAACTACTCAAATGCAACCTCCAGGAACTTCATCTCAATAGTGAAGGTATTTCACTAGGTGTTTGTGTGCAAAAGTGTAAAGAAAAACCACTTTAAGGCACAAACAACACAAATAGAGAGAGAGAGAGAGAGAGAGAAATATAGAGAGAGAGGGATATGTATATCTCTATCCAAATTTTTTGAACCTCTGGAAAGGGAGAGAGACGTCCCCTCTTATAGAAATCCAAGTCTCAAGCTTGTTGAACAAGCTAGAGGCTTGGTGCAATCCCTCCATACACGTGTATGGAGGATGAGTTCTCTACTCATCAACTGGCACAGCTGGCAATAAAAATATTTGAAAAAGCAAAGAAAAGGGCCTCAGCCAAAAAGTATGGCCGATCGGCCATTAAAAGTGTCGACCGGCCATCACTGATGGCCGATGGAAAGAGGGCATGGCGATAGGCATGGGGCCTGGCTGATGGGTTGCAAGGATGGCCAACATGTCACCTCATTCCCTCAGAAACAGAGCCACAAGCTCTTGGTTCACAACCAAGCACAAAACAGA